CATGGGAAGAATGAGGACCGTGAAGCAAACCTACCATTGTGCGCGGCCCATCGCATGGGTTGGGCGCGATCCCAGCTAGGGAAAGTGTTTGTCGAGAAACGAGAATGGACCAATGCAAAGTGAGACGCGAACAAGACATGGTTCAAGTCGTGATAGTAATTGTATACTTGAGGTGGGGAGAGTTGACCCTTGTAGACGATATTTTTGCTGGACAGAGAACAAATGTAAAACCATTTGGCGAGGGTACTGAGTCGATAAATGATCATTAGTACAAGATTACAACAAAAAGAGACACGATCCGAGAGATAGATAGATAGTGAAATAAGGATACAGTTAAAGAAAAGCAGCCCAGAGCAAGCCTATTCTTCTCGTGCAAGGTGTAGAATCCTCCACCTCTCCGATATCATTTATGCCTGCCATTTCCCAAGGAGAAAAAAAAAAAAGAGCAAGAGAGACGGGAATAAGGCCGTCTCTCCATCAAATGCAAATACTCTCTCCACGCGCATACACGACGGGATGGTGGTACTTGGCTGCCGAAAGGGGTGCTTTCAGGGTCGAAATAGTAAAGAGAGAGACTCACATGGTATGGGTAGCATGCTTGCGAAGCACGTAGAGTTGGCGTTCAAAGTGTCTCTCGTCAAACTCTCCATTCGCACAGTGGTTCCCGTCGCCGTAATGGGCCCTGAGCACGACAAAAGGCTGGAAAATTGCCGGCTCGCGGGAGCTGGAGGCCGGACCGAGAATCGAACCGTCGGTCGGCACCCTTCGCCAGCCCAGAACGCGCAAACCAAGGTCCGCAGCGATATTGGAAAAGATGGACTTGTGTTTTTCTTGATCGTTGGTGTCCTTTGGGTTCAAAAACAGATTTCCGACCGCGTACTGGCCTGCGGCAGGGAGAGGAGCATCGAGGAGGCGTTCTGCCTCTGCCTTGAAGAATTCGTGCGGGATGCCACTCATGACACCTGCGCCATCGCCGTCGCGAGAATCAGCCCCAGTGGCTCCTCGATGAGTCATGGCGCAAAGCAAGTGGCGGGCATCAGAGATAATCTTGTGCGACGCTTTACCTCGAATCTGGCAGATGAAGCCGACGCCGCAAGCATCTTTCTCGTTCGCATTGTCGTACAGACCCTGGGACGCGGGGAGGGACTGAGCCCAAGACTCGGTGTCGTGCTCGTACTGGGGGAGTTCAGACATGGAGGATCCCAAAAAGTACGGAGGGGGAAGGGAGTCAAGATGTGAGCAAAACAAAAGCGACACAAACAAAGCAGAAAAGTTGGAGTTCTCCCCGAGCTGGACTGCGAAGCGGAGTCCCTCTGGCCACTGTCAAAGCCGTAATCGAGCGAATAGGGCCATTCCAATTGGCTGCTTCATCCCTCACCCGTCGGGAAATTCGGGTCCGACTGCCGAGAGACGAATCCCAATTCCCGCATTTCAAACTCCGCCATCCTTATCTTATCGGATGCGCCCTGGCCTATCGCCTCTCAGCGCGGCGAGGGCTCCTTTTTCGACGGCGTCGGCCGTGCTGAAAGCCCCTCCAGCGGGCTTTACATATTTTCCAAACTTTTTGTCGCGGCAGGAGCAGCTTTTGCTGACGAGAGCAGCGCTCGACCATCTCGATAATGCCGTCGGTTCGCCCGCAACACGTAAAAGACGTAAGCGATTGCTTGCTACTGGATCCGTATCGCCAAACGAATGGGGATTTCTACCCGAAAAAGAGTGTTATGATTTCGAAGAGGTTAGTCCCAGTTTTTTTGTGATCAACTCGATCTTTGGAAAATATTGTCTCATGGCTCTCTCTTCTGGCGCAATTGATTACCACCCGTAACGTACGTGCAGGGACACTTTGATGGAGTTATCAGATACTATCGAGAAGCTCGAGTAACAGACGCACAGTGGGCCTCCTTCCCGGACCCTGGCCTGCAGGACACCCTTGCCAGAGTACGCTCGCTGCTGCCGCCGCAAACACCCCTCCAGACACATGTTCTCCACCTGTCGGAACGTGGTGAAATTCTGCCCCACATCGATAATGTCGAAGCGAGCGGCTCGATCATCCTGGGCGTTAGCTTGGGCGCTGCTCGAGTGCTCCAACTGGAGGACGAGCACGGCAATCTCTATAGCCATCTACTCGAGCCCGGAAGTTGCTATATACAACGGTAATCATCAGTCTGCTAAGCGCGTCCTTTGCCCTCCGATCACTGATCCACATCTCCTATGACACTTAGCGATTCAGTCCGCTACGCATTCAAACACGCCATTTTAAAAGCCGGCACGTTCAATGGAGTACCGCTCATGGGTGGTCAGAGACTAAGCGTCATGATACGAGTCAGTACCATTCTCGTTCTCCTTATGCTGCCGATGGGTTCTGAATTCAGACCACATTCTCTGTATTTTTCTTTCTCTCAGGACCTTCCACAACAAATCGGCACTACCAATCTATAATAGGGGCTAGCGACGCACGGTCGGTCACTCCGATTCACTATCGCTAGCCATCTCGCCCGAGCCAGTCCTCTCCCGTCTTATGGCCTCGATCGACCCGTATGGAACCACACCGCGCATCCACTTTCCTTCCAAGATGTCGATCCTCCCCAAACCACTTGCGGTACAGCTCGCCAGCACGTGCGCACGGCTGGGTCCACACCCATTGTTCCAAGAGACCGCAGTCACGGCCACGCTGGGATGCCAAAGCCCCGACGGTTCGGGCTGCCCCTTTTCAAAT